TGATAGGCACGAAGTCAACCTGCCGTCAGAGTTTTTCAGAAATTGATTTCTGACAAAGCATGTGAGCATTCAGGGTAATCAACTGAAGTCAACTCACTCACCTATGCAAAAGTATTAAAAATGTAGAGCTGAAAGGATACGGTTAACTCTGCATCCTTGAGCTGATGTTTGGTGATGATAATGGCAAAGAATCCATGTACTGAATAGCATCTTTTAGAAAAGTGAACATCTTATTTCTTCTTTTATGCCATTCAGGACCTTAGGACTAAAAGACCTTATAAGCCACTGACATAAGCCAGGCATAATACTGTATTTGATGAAGGATAACTTGGTTTTTGTTTTCTGGGCTTTTTTTACTCTCCTCAGCCAGGGCCAAATGCACTTAAGATGGGTAAGGAGAAATCTGCCCTATATAAAGGCTGTGATTTCTCCTCGTTAGCTACTACATACAGCACTAACAGGCTGCTGGCCTTCAGGAGCCTTCAAACATCCAGTCTGAAGTTGCAGACTTGTGGCACAATAGAACACAATACATGAAGATTTGCGAGAGTACCTTGGAACAAGTAGGATTTTTATGTAGCTTTGCTCCCAAAATCAAGTACAATGAAGAACATGGTTTCTGGTGGAAAGCCTCGAGTGTTCCTAAGCCCAATCCAAGTACACATCTATTCACTTCCCCTCCTGATTTGAAAAGGTGGCAATGCTTTCTTAGATCTGTTTCTGGGGATTGGGTTTACTTGCCTAAAAGCCAAATCTCATTAAAATATCGCATAAAATCAAACCATCTTGGGCTTGCAAAATGAAGTTCAAACTGTCCCAACGGCCGATACTGTTGTGTATATACAATGGCTGATACTGTTGTGTATATACCAACACTTCTACGCAATGCCAGCCCCCTTTGAAACCTTGAGACCCAATGCAGTTTTGCCTGCTTGCTTCATGTGAGGGGTTTGGAAGTTTTCTTAACTTTCAATTTCAGAAGATGGAATATTAATGGCTTAAACATTCAAGTTGATTTATATGTGAAGTAGACTTTTGTAACTCATGCCTTCCATTAGTATGTGACTCATGTCTCTCTAATCCAGAGGCATGTGGAGGAGAAGTACTGTTTGAGTGCCAAGGTAATCGGTAAAGCTGTTTGCTTTATTGGGCTTCATTGGGCTTGTTTGGTCCCTTGTCGAGGCCTGGAGTGAGCTTGCACACGGGTGGCAAAGGCTGGTCTCTGCAGATTTGGTTGCAACTGAAGTGCCCAAGATCAGAGAGGCAAAAGAGCAAAGGTTAAAGTGAGGCAGCAGCACAGATACTGTTGGGAGATGGTGAGAACAGTTTGTACGAACATAAGAAGTGGCCCAGTCTTGTTCACCAAGAAATGAAACTTGGGCTTTCTGTAGACCTCCCCCCTCCTGGGGATCCTTCAGCTGAAGTCACCAATGCTGCAAGAGCTGTCCCCCTGCCCAGCTCTGCTGCATCCCCTCTACCCTTCCTGTGGCAGAAGTTACTGGTCCAGCCCCTTTATCCTTCAGATGGCCATAGTCTGTGCAAACAAGCTGCTAAAAAGTCTGGTCTGGTGGTTCCTGGCGCTGTGTGGAATTGGTGGTACCCACTCTCTTAGGCAGTAAAACAGGACCCATAGGTCTGCCCTAAGGGCTGAGCTGGTGTCTCCAAATACCCAGATAAAATCTGTGTGCTGGGTTGCTGCTTTGCACAGGAGAATGACACCACTCAGATAAAAAGGCTTCTTCCTGGCAGGGTGAAAACCCCTTTTTAGTTGTCCATGGTTGATCGGTCGCAAACCGGGGCCAGGGGCAGCCATGCAAAAATGACTTTCAAAGCACACTGATGTGAGGACCATAAATTGCGTGAATAAAAATGCACTTTCCCAGAGCCAAAGTCATAACTTCCCATCACTTCCCAGAATAAATGCTGTCTGCTATATTTATTAGGTGGGACTGTGTATAGGCAGTCACTCTAAGTGTGTTTATTTTGAAGTCATCAGTTGTTCAGTAATCTCGGGCACCTCTGGGAGATTTAACTCAGATAGAGGTTTAGGCTGGAGGTCGTGGGGTCACTGATATTAAGATAGAGAGAAGGAAAGGAAACAGCATTGTTTTTGTGGCATTATCTGAACAGCAAGGAAAAATAAATTCATGTTTCAAGATGGCTTTAGCCTGACTCTGAAGGAAATGGTCTACAAATCCAGTCAACAAGCAGGCGGCTGCAACGAGACCCTGCTTCTCCTTGAGTTTGTTTTGAGCCGCCCAACCAAAAACCATGGTGGTTATGGCTTGATTAAGAAAGACTTCTCTAGAAATCTGTTTAAGTAGTTACAGTTTTCCTTTAGCATATGCAAGTGTTTGAGTTTCTAATTTTAACTTGCCTCCTAAAATAAAATCTCTGGAGTTGCTTTTTGGGCAGTAGTTTGAACTCAGCAATGAGCTCCCTGGGAGTGGTAGCAGCATGCTGGACTTCAGCTGGTGGCCAGCATCACCTCTAGGTCCCAGAGCTGCTCAGGGGCAGAGAGCAGGGACACGAATGTCCTGACACTAATGAAATCTGGGTTCTGGTGCATGGGGGTCCATCTACTGTTGTAAACTCCAAAAAACTCATTCTGTCTCATGGAGTCTTTGATGTCTTGTAAGAAGTGAACTCGTACTGTGGGCTTTTCTGCAGCCCGGCACTTATTTTCAAGGAACATATAGGCAATTTTCTTTAAGACCTCTAACCTTCTGCAAATGTGACTGAAATCAGCTAATAGGTTCCAAATTTATTAGGAGGAGACAGACAGACAGACCCAGAGCATTAATGCACAGGGCTGGTTTCCCCAGGAAGCCAGAATAACAAAAAAAAAGGAGAAGAAAAAAAAAAAAGGCATTGGGAGTAAAGTAAGGATTTGTTTATCGCCGCCTTAATATTTTATCATAAAACACACTGTCTTATCCTCAGGGTTTGTCAGTGGTTTGTATATGTATGTGCCTGTGTGTATACATATTTTTGTATATAAAAATCCAGCAACATCCATTGTTTAAAAAATCAAAAATGAGAAGGATTTTACTAAAAGCATTTTGGGAAAACCTCTGCTCTCAGTTTTCCTGTCAACGTTTTTCTAAGCTTTTATTTTTATGAGCCAAAATGTTTAGAATCCCCAGGAAATCCTGGGATGAACCATTTCCTCTTCAAGCTGTAGCCCTTAGGGGAAAAAGAAAACCTCAGACCCTTTCAAAGGTTAGAAATTTTTCAAACTGTATTTTTTGCAGATTTTTTAAATTAGAGGAAAAACTAAGTTAGGGAGATGCTTAACTTCAGGCTGTGGTCCTGGGAAAGATTGATCTCTTTGTAGAAAAGCCTGAAGAGACTCTTGGATCTGGGCAAGGAAATCTTTTAGGCTTGGATCTTAATGGGGAACCGATTGCTGAATTGAGGTATAACAGGTTCAGTTGAAAGACCATCTTTATATTATTTGAAAGTAAATTAAAAAATAACATTTGCTTTTCCTCAACCAATTTGTGTATGTTAGTTAGCATGCAACAGCTTTGTATTAAGAGGCTGTTAATGCCCTGGAGATGATGATGATATTATTATTGTTATTGTTGTTGTTGTTATTTTATTAAAAAAATCTCAGATCATATTTGTTATATACCTGAGGTTTTGCAAGAGTAAATCCAATTGGCTGTTTTCTTTCATTCAGATAAACTTCAATGGGAATCATAATTTCAAACTAATAAGAACTTCCATCCTGCAAATACATATGTACATTGTTAATTTTAGAATTCTCTGGGGTTCACTCCTTAAAGTGGGTTCAGTTGCTTAAAGTTAAGAACATAAGAATGTGTCACAGACTGCAGCCTAGCTGGGCTAGCTGGAGCTCAGCACAGGTTACTTTACCCAGATTTTGAGATGATGGTTATTCTTTGGGATGGAGAGGGCACTGCTGTTATAAATGAGAGAAGTTGAAAATGTGGTGAAACGTGAGGCTGAGGGATACAGGAGTCTCTTCCTGAAAAATTATATTGATGTGTCATTTTTCATAATTCTGAATTTGCAGTCACTACATATCACTTTATTTTAGGAAAAGTGCATTTGCTTATATATATAATATGTGACAAACAGTCTGAACTGATTTACTCATCTACTTTTTATCAAGTTTCTTTGGAAGTTTTTTGGAAAGCTGAACATGAAAAACCCAGACTTCATGTTTCAGTAACTGGTATAAGTTACTCCCACAGTCTATCACGAATATAGAAAGATTTGTGGTAATTCATGTGAAATTTAGTAGCCTTTTTGGTAATGCAAGGAAAAAAATGTAATCTTTAAGGACATTTATTTTTTTGGTTACCTAAATGTACATAGTAAAGGGTGCTTCTGCTTTCTTGGTATTTTCAGGTTTGGGATGGGGACACTCAACTAGTCTGCTGGGATGGTATTACAATTCAGTATCTCTGTTCACTTTGCAACGGGGTGAGTGAAAGGGGAAAGACTAAAGGAGGGAGACTGATAATGAATTTCCTAAAGTTTCTGCTACTAGAAGCATGCAGAAAGTCCCAATACTACAACTGTGACTTCAAAAGTTCGGAAGATTTTGATTTTTATCAAAAACTTTCTGACTGAGTTTGAGCTTTGGATTTAAGCTACCAGACAGGAAACAGTCAGAGGCAATAAAAGTTTCCTAATTTAGGAGATTTTTCATTTCAGTGTTTCTCATGTAGCCTAGTAGTCAGCAAAGACAGCCTAAAAGTCCTCAGACCATGATATATGTATGTGTTGTGAAGTTATGAGGAATATTAAAGGTCTTGTGATAAGGTCTTCTACTAGTAGAGGACTTTACATCTGATCCTCTCTCCAGCTGGGAATGCCTAAAGAGCAGCCCTTGTTACTCTGGGCCAGGATGGGTCAATAGACTTCAGGTGCAAGGGAGTTCTTCAAAGCAGCAAAGCCTATAAGGCCAAACTTTGATTCCTAGTATCTTTAACTCCTCTCTGTTTTTCCTGTCTGCATTTCTACAGGTGCTGTTTGCTCTAAACCAAACTCTGCTCCAACATGAAAGCCTCCGAGCAGGCAGTTTGCAGGCCCCGTATACCACTGAAGATCTCATCAAGCATTATAACTGTGGAGACCTGAATGCTGTCATATTCAACCATGACACTTCTCAGGTAAGCAAAAGCACTGTGTACGGGCCAGCTAATTGAGAAAAATCAGCTGCTTTACTAGCGATGTCCTTTACAGAGCCAGGAAGTGTCTCCTACCAAAACCCAATCTGAAATTTCTACACTGGATATAATGATCTGTATTCATTAAAATTGAGGTGAATTGATGTTCAGAGAGATTAAGAGCCTGCCATAAAGCTTACAGGTGCCTACAGCACAGCAATAAGTAAAACTTTGGTCTCAGGGTTATCACTTTATACTCCCGTCTTCTCTTTC